GGAACAAAGTTTAAAAACTATCTTATTCTCCCCAATAAGCTTGATATCAAGATAAGACAATTTCCATCCTCTTTGGGCTCAGTCAGAAAGGCCAAAATAATCCTTTAGAGGGGGTGAGAAAGACTCTGTCACCAAGAATCTTGTAGCAGCAATACACTACTCCTCCACCAAACTTTCTACAGCCACCATCAAACATGATAAACCCGATGGAATAACTTTACCAGTCAGGCAAAACCCATCATTCTTCTTCTTTCCAGACTTCCTCCAATCCATACTTTTCAACTCGAACTCGCTCTCATCTCTCTCTATAGCACATAACCTCTCCCTCTACTTTTACCCAAGAATATCCAATCAAACCTCTGATCTCCAACTTTGCATCCTGCTTCAAGGCTGCATCTTTTCCTATTACATCTATATAATTACAATTAGGACACTGCTCCTCCACCAAACTTTCTACAGCTACCGTCAAACATGATAACCTGATGGAAGAACTTTACCAGTCAGATAAAACTCATCGTTCTTCTCCTTTATCTATTATAAGCATTTTCTAGATCAATAAAGACCATGTGAAAAAATAGGAAAAACTTTATAATAGAGAAGTATGGTGGATCTCAATAATCTCTCCAAAAGGGTTGATCCAAAATAATAATAAAAAAGCAACGGATCATCCTGGCCTCGAGATATATGGATATGAAGAGAAAAAGTATCTTAAATCCTAAAATTTGTGCATGTGATACATTATTTAGATCTATTTGAAGTGCTTATAGATCTATTTGATCTGGAAAATACTGAAAATAGATTTTTAGGCTATGTAAAGGTTTTCGGCACCTTAATTTCAACAGGGATTTAGAGGTACGTTTCGCTTTGATTGTTTAAAGTTGATGCCTTATGCAAACCACACCCTTTTTAATACTGACTTGGATCTTAAGAGGAACCTAAGATGTAGCATTGTGGTTTGTATAAGGCGCATATACCAAAGGGTGTGGTTTGCAAAAAAAAAACAAAGCTGATTGCCAAGCCTTTTTATTAGGTGAATTATGTCAGTAAGTCGAGCCTGCATAAGCCTAGTACTAACTCTTTGGCTTGAACTTGATTAGGGTTGCTTCTCTCAAGCTTGAACCTCTTGATAAGCTTGAACTTTAATGGGAAAATTATAGATACCCCCTTAGATTCTACTTTTTAGTTATATTCAATATTTTGTAAATCACACAACTAATCTCAACAAAAAAAAAAAGAAATTTGCAACCACCTCCAAGTCAAAAGGTAGGGTAATTTAAGATGGAAATATCCCCAATATAATGCACAATTTTGTCAAGAAAAAAATCAAACTAATAAGGCACAATGTGTGCTAGACCGGCTTTATTTTAAATGAAGTCGGTCCAGCATAACATGTGTCAAACTTATATATTGTCTAAAATAAAGCTTGCCTAGGACCGGCACATAGTTTAAACTGATGTTGGTCCAACCTATATTGTGCCAGACTAGCATCATTTAAAAAAACTGATAGCGGGTGAGAGAAATGTGTTTTATAATGGGGTATCTTGGTCCTAAAAAACCATCACTTTTTTTTACTTTGGGGTTAGTGGTGTGGTTTACATAATATTGCTTGGGCACTAAAAAGTAGGGGTAGGGAGGTATCTATAATTTTCTCAACTTAATTTAGGTGAATGCATTTACTTGAATGAAGCCCATTACAGGTCAATAAATAAGCAAAAGCCTAAATTACAAGCTAAATCGAGCATGGGTGGATAATTTAACAAGTAGCCTATAGGTTTGCCATTAAGCTTGGCTCCTCTTGGCCAGATTTATTGCTCAAGCTCAGCGCCTTGAACTTGCTCATGAATGTGGTTATGGCTATGTCAAACGACACCCCTAAATGTAAACAACACCAAACGCTTTTGAGCACCTTGACTCTTTGCATGTCTCAATGACTATTGAAATCTAGCAAAACGACATTACCTTTGATGTTCCTTGGATGGGCATTGTTTGAAATCAAGAAACTATAATCCAATTGCTTAATTGGAGCATAATTTCATAGGATGTGGAGGCCATTACAGAATATTTTGAATAAAAATTAAAAACCAATTTTTTATATGTTTATAATTTTTTTTATAATTTTTTATTGAAGTGACCCGAGTTGCACCCAAGTACTCAGCTCAGCAAGGAGCCAGCTCCGAATGGACTAAATCGAGATTGGAATCATTGAAAAGAAATACTTCTAATCACTCATATATTTTTTTCATTTTGTACTTGAAGAACTTAAAACTCTTTTGAATAATGAGCTTTTCTATTTGACATCAACTAAGCCTTATTCTTTTTTTCCTTTTTTTTTTTTGAAAAATTACTTAGAGATACTCTTTCCACCCCTTTATTACCGTATGGGAATATTTTTTTGCCATATGACACGCACACCAAACACTCACGGCCTCTTTTTTTTTTTTCTTTGCAATTACCCACGTATCCGCCAATGTTAAAAAGGGAGAGAAGTTGGGAGAACTAAAGAAAATAATAATACCTTAATATTGAAAATAATAATACCTTAATATTGAAAATAATAATAATAATACCTTAATATTGAAAAAAGACCATCCAATTTTTGAAGCGCTCGATCTAAGGGTTATAAAACTCAAAATTCCAATTTTTTATTTTAGAAATAATCATCTCGTAATTTCTATATGGTTCCCAAAATTTTAGACTAAAAAAATAGCTTGTTATTTTGATTGATGTAGCAGATGCACAACGTGCTCCTATAAGAGGAGCAACGCTCTATAAAATAAAATAAAAATAAAAATAAAAAAATTGAAAACATGTGTAAGTTTCCTCCTATGGCAATTACGAAAAAAGAAAAGGTACACTAGGGGAGTGCTCATTGCAATTTTGGAGAAAAATGTTTCTATACGATAATAAAGGGGCGAAATAGTGTCCATACATAAATTTTTCTTTTCATTATTTTTATATGAGATACGTATATTTATTTTTGTTTTACATATGTTCTAGGGATTGTAGACTACGAGACCATTTACTGTTGTAACAATGAGCTCTAAGATATCTTTAGCCATCCTATTTCAAATTGAACAACTTCGAGTGTCATGAAGTTCAAGATTTTTTTATTTTTATTTTGGGTAATTTTGAACAAGCTCACTTGATTTGAAATTTGTCAGATAAAAATGATTGTTGCTGCTAGGCCATCTGTCATTTTCTAAGACTGCTCCATTTTTCCCTGATTGGTCAATTCTTGAGCCGTTCATGCCTAAATCTTCGATACATCCGCCTGATCGATTGAATAGGACTAGTAGCATCGCCAAGAGGGAGGAACCCACCCCACAGCTCCTTCTAATACTAAAAATAAATAGTCTGTTCGTATGTTTTTTTCCATTTTTTTAAGTCACCATTAAGGGGTAAAAACCTGACATTCAACTAGATGGGAAATCCTAGTCAATTAAAGAACGTATCCTTAGAAGTCCAATACTTAGAAGACTATCCTCTAAGTTCCTGCGTAATAAAGTCTCCTCATCTCTCTCACTAATTCAAATTAAATCTCTCTCTCACTCTCGAGGGTGGCCTAGCCCGGCTCAGTTGGCCCGGCTCCGAGGGCTGGACCAAGGCCAGGCCAAGACAAGCCCGGGCTGGCCCTTGTTTTTTTTTTTTTTTCATCATTTTTGCATTGTTTTCTTTTAATTTTGCCTGGCGTGGCGCGGTCAAGGCTGGGCCTCAGGAGAGTTGGGCCAGGCCGTTGCCAGACCTCTAAACCTTGGAACAACTCATACACCACCTGTGTATCTTTCAACAATCCAAAACTCGATTGGAACAACTCGTTTACCATCTCTCTATGTTTTTTTGAAATCCAAACTAATGCTCTCTCTCTCTCTCTCTCTCTCTCTCTCTCTCTCCAAACCTTCGAACAATTCATACACCACTTTTGTCTCTCTCTCCAAACCTTCGAACAATTCATACACCACCTTTGTCTCTCACATAAAGCCGAACCTAAACAACTCACACACCAGCCCTTTATCTCATATTAATCCAAACCTCGATTGGAACAACCATGCCACTCTTTTTGTTCATCATTTCTTGGATCTGCTTGGTTATTCTACAATTTTAATGGAGTAGTAGCTTTAAGATTTGGGTGCGGTTTGTATACAGCCTAGGCTCTAAACAATCAAATTAGAGCCCACCTTCAAATAGTATCGATAAATGTGGTTTCAATACTGAAAAACTTTGTGATAGCCTTAAAATATATTTTCATATTTATTTATAAAGTTTAAAGCTTCAAAAAAATATAGATCGACAGATCTTTGTAAACTTAAAAATTTCTAAAAAATTGACGGTCCAAAAATGCATTACAAAATACATACACCATTTCCAACACTTGAAATCCATTTTTTTCTTATGCCCATGCATCTTAATGGCAAGATAATCAATTTGAGGATATTTGGGCATCAAAACCTCTTCTAATAAAATTTTTGAGGAATGCTGTAATTTGATTGATTAGAGCCTCGGCTCTCTATAAACTTTTCCCTTAATATTTTATTTCTCTGAAATACAATCCTTGGCTTTGCTTCTTCATGATCAAAAGCCAAGAGAAAGATGGCTTCAGATCAAGAAGGATTGAAATCAAATTTAAAAAAAATTCATAACAGACCTTTAAGGTACAAGATCTTGAAAGTCTAAAGCACAACCACATTTTGGAAAAATAAAAAATAAAAAATAAAAAAAATGAGTGTCAATGTAGTATGCAGCATTTCATGAGGGTCTTTTAAGTACCAGAAAATTAAGGGGATATAAGCGTAAATTTTCCTTGAAAAAATTCCTGCAGCATTTCATGAAGGTCTTTTAACTACCAGCAAATTAAAGGGATATAAGCGAAAATTTTGCCTGGAAAAATCTAGGGGTTTGGTTAGTGCAAAGGAAAAACGCACACGTTAAGACATAAGAACATATATATAGATTAAGGCCCATAGTCACCTGAGAACATAAATAACACGCTTATGCATAGCACATCTGAAAATAGCCATGCATGGCCCCTCTTTATTTTAATTCACCCCATTTTAGGCTTAATTGTTAAATTCGTGGAACATAAAACAACCTTATTCACCATCTTATTACACATGTTGAGCTTATTCTGCAGGGTTTATAGATAAGTCACAGGAGATCACACAAGTGAGGCCTCGAGCAGAACTGTCTCCCATTAGCTTTCACAACAGCCATTAAACCTGCGGTCATCCCTGCCCAGAGTACAGATGACAGAAAATGTTGTGCACCACGTCCAGCTGCAGTTAACACAGATGAGTCATAAATGTGATTATCTTGTGTAGTTTAAATGGATAACCCAAATTGAACAAGATGCATTTCATAGTTTCATAATGATTTTCCCTCCTGTTGTTGGGGGGCTGGTCTAGAAATGGTGGTGGTTATGGTGGCTGACAATTCCCTATCCAATCTGGAAGATCCATTCACGTGGACAGCAGATGGGGGGGAGGGACTGCCAATGACCACAACATCATTTCCTGGTATATAAAAGGAATTGCATACCATGCCAAATGTATCACAGTGGTATGCTACATGTAAACTCAACCATCCACTTGAGGGAGGAGAAATGCATCTCAACCATCCATTATTGACAGTAGATGTGGCGGAAGGTAGCAGAGCATACTGCTGGTACTTTACATGTACCATATTATGCTTTCCCTATATCTGCACACATGCGCACTCATGCATGCATATGCAAAGTGGCATATATAGATCTGAAAATGAAGTACGTTGTAGATTTAACTTGTACATGACATGGGAATGACCTTGATTAAGAGAAACAGTTGTCAATGTGAGACCTCCAACTAATATAGCTGATGCAACTGGGAGGTACTGAAAAGTAAGACGCAACAATAATAAGCATGTTATATTTCAAACCAATAAACATCATTTTATTCAAGCTGCTAATGCAAACAATGGGAAGCAACTTTATCTTATATTTACAGATAAACACCCTTGGGCTATTTTGTTTGGTATGATACTCATGAAATTTGTGTTTCACACTTCAAAGAAAGCCAAAAAATTGGTACAAACACGAAAATTTTCAGTTTCTCTAACATCCATATACCCCTAGTACAAAACTAAACACTGGAAAGGCAAGTCGATTGAATTTTACCAAGCTGTCCCACAAAATATATATGATATTTAAGAAAGAATAATGGATGGTATTTTAATGACAAGTCAAAAATTAAGAGAGTTCAAATTTCTTTGAAATAGCCCACACCCATATGCAACTGCTCCGGAGTAGATGAATTTTATGGGAATAATGGTTGCATAGCGGAGATGGACATAGACATGGCCGGCTCCATGCCAGTCATGCCGGTCCAAAGTCCGGATAAAGGACGATTGTGTTAGGTAGGCAGCCAGCATAAAACTGTGCTACATCTTTTCATGAATCTTGAACCTATTCTGATCGAGGATACGACCATAAACAGAACAGAATAGCAAAACAAGATTTGTGTAACCAACCTCAAATAGTTGAGATAAGGCTTGGATGATGACCATGATGATGATGACAATAGGAGAGAGGGAGACATACTATAGGGAGGAAACGGTTGTGCATGGGAATGAGTGGAATTGCATAAAATTTGAACCCTCTTATAATTGTAAAGAAGTGTCCCATTTCTACCAAAATAATACCCCTTTGAACATAAACATTTGGTGGACATCTTGGTAGAATCTAGTCATCATGTGTGGGGGACATTACAGAAAGATAAGATTCAATCTGATCAAGACATAAAATTTAGGGGAGAAGTTAAAAATATCCTACAATATATCTTATAGCACGTAAGGGCCATGTTTAGAGAACTGGTCAAATCCCTCTACCTACATGATCCGTATTGAGGTGTCATAGCTCGTAGGTTGTGATAAAACGATGAATAATCATTTTGTTAAATGATCATTTTTGCACTACTTTTGAGCTTGGATATTAGTATAATCATTTTGATAAATGATCATTTTTGCACTACTTTTGAGCTTGGATATTAGTATAATCATTTTGATAAATGATCATTTTTGCGCACTACTTTTGAGCTTAGATATTAGTAGTCCTTAACTGAAAATGATTCAAATCCATTCAGCGGAAATGGAGAAGGGCAACTCCGACTAACGGTGTAGTGACCACTTATGAGATCCATTGCATCCTGAAAACCATGTCAAAATGTAAGGCCCTATAGTGATGCAAAGAAATTGATCATGTCATTTGGGTTCCAAAGAATGAACAAAACAACTTTTTCTTTGAATCACATAAAATAGGAAAATTGCAGGTACCTCCCCCCCCTCAAAGTAGACTTTCTAGACAACCTCCCCCCAACCAAACTCTTTTTCGCAACTTTTATCCCAAAACCAAATTTTATAGCAAATACCCCCCCAAGTCAAAAAATCATAATTTTTTCGATAAAAATACACTTTAGTCAAAAAGTTACATTTCTCAACGTGATTTGCCTACAGTCCGGCACTCTAACCAAAGGGTCCGGCAACTTGTACACACGGTCTGGCACATCCATGTCTCAATCCAGCAGTTGTGGCTTGATCTGTCTACACGCGGTCCAACACTTTCCATACTCGATTTGGCACTTTGGCTTCTATTTCTTTTGCGGTCCGGCAATCTCGTGATGGGCTCCGGTAGGTGAAGAGCAATTCGGAAAAAGGTGGCCTCGGTCCGGCACTTTTTGTTTGTGGTCCGGCACTATTATAAAAGGCATTTTCGTCCAAAAAATTATGACTTTTTGCTTTGGGGGGGTATTTGCTATAAAACTTTATTTGGGATAAAAGTTGCAAAAAACATTAATTGGGGGGAGGTTGTCTAGAAAGCTAAACCTGAAAAATCATGTGTTCATAAGGGAAAATCACTGCACATGAGAACCATATCCACAGTGGGAAAGTATTCAATAATGAGTAGACTATGGAAAACCATAGTAAGCCGGGGTCAACATCATCCAATAAAATGTTGGATGGTGATGGAGAATGGAACGTCATGTCCAGAGCAGGCGGATTTCATACTCTCCCATTACCATGGATCATTTCATTGGATAGTGATGACTGGTAGGATTTCATATACTTTCTCATTCAGTATACACTATCACACCACTTGCCTGTCGAACACCATCATGGAAATTGTTCAAATAATATCGTGAAACGGCACTCATTCCATCCTTTACTAGTCCAGCTAGGGTTTGTCTTCCATATCTACAGAGAGAGCAAATCACAAACTGACTAAAAAACATAAATAACTGATAACAGAAAGACAATATAACTCCTCGGGCATTTTGAACCTGTACAAAAGCTACCTGACAAGGTCTCCCTTTAGGGCATGCGTACCAGAGTACTGCAGGCTTATTTCATCACCATGATCAACCCATACTAAACACATCAATAGTAATATATAATTACTTCATCCATATGTAACTAGCAAGTACCAAACTCTCCAAGACTAATGAAAAAATCCTTACATGTCCTGAACTTGTCATAAACATCAGAATGCTGAGGCATTGAATCAGCTGGGGAATCCAGCCCCATCCTCTCCAGCTGTATATTCAAGGATTTCCAAGCCAGAAAACTCTGGAAAAAGCTTCATATTAACATGTAAGAAAAGCATACACAAACCAATCGAATCTCAAATATAATGAGAGACATAAACATGGCATCAGGCATACTTTTAGCTTATTCCTATCATGCCTTTGAAAGGGAATTCTGCATTGTTTCCTAAAACAAGCATTTGTTTATATATGCAACATGCTGATTTTAATTATGCGGGACCAAAAAAGTGAAGAACATTACCTGATCCCACATAAAGCATTACAAAAAAGTTATCCCACTCAAAGAACTTCAAATACCATATGTGCTAAAATACTGTTCTGAGTGACAAAGCTATGCTGATGAAGTATTTATCAATCAGAAGATGGCACTTATCTCACATAAGATGGAATACACAGCGATTAGTACTGCACTGAAATGGCAAAACTGTCGGCTAAAATAACTTTTCAAAATAATGCAATAACAACCAATGTAACTCACACAGACCACTTTCTTTTTGTTTTTTGTTATTCTTGTTTTTTCTGAAGAAAGCACACAGACCATTTATTTCCACCGTCATTTATACAAATCACCCTCCTTCAAATTCTTTTAGAAATTTGATTTAGCGGCACAAATTTCCAATGTTAACACTTCATTCAATTCTTGTACTATTCAGATCCATCAAACTAATCCGGCTGGTCCGTTGCAAATGTGAGATCTTTACTTGTCAAGCTGAATGAGACCCTTATAATTGTTGAGGACGATAAAAAAGCCTCAACATCATCAGATGGCTAGTGGTTTAACTTTTACTCTCTAATGCTTGTTTATAATATTTGATGAGATTGCAGACATTAGCTCATTGTGATCCACCTATTCCATGGCTAGAACAAAGGTGGATATACGTTACACCACGATTTTGAATCAGAAGAGAGATTTCAAGAAAGGGCAGACCTATTCACTATATCAATAACCGAGCCCGATCTGATGTATCATAAGGGATTTGCCTTTTCTATTGATTCCTACAGATTGGATCAAAAAAATATTATTTGAATGAGGTATTCAACTCCAGAGATGAATCGAAAAAGAAATCTTTATTGGTTCTACCTCATATTTTTTATGAAGAGAATGAATCTTTTTATCGAAGGACTAGAACAAAATCGGTCCGGATCTCCTGCAAGGAATGGTTTGGAAGAGATCCAAAAATAGAGGTATTTGCTAGCAACAACATAATGGAGGCAGTCAATCAATATAGATTGATCCGAAATCTGATTCAAATCCAATATAGCACCTATGGGACATAAGAAATGTATCGAAGAGATTATTTTTAATGAATAGATCCGATCGCAACTTCGAATATGGAATTCAAAGGGATCAAATAGGAAATGATACTTTGAATCATATAACTATAATGAAATATACAATCACCCAACATTTATCGAATTTGAAAAAGAGTCGGAAGAAATGGTTCGATCCTCTTATTTCTTGAACCGAGAGATCCATGAATCGGGATCCTAATGCATATAGATACAAATGGTCCAATGGGAGCAAGAATTTCCAAGAACATTTGGAACGTTTCGTTTTTTAACAGAAGAACCGTTTTCAAGTAGTGTTCGATCGATTACGTATTAATCAACATTTGATTGATTCATCCAAGGTTATCGACAAACAAGATTTGTCTAAGTCACTTTGTTTCTTTTTTGTCCTAGTGGTTTAACTTTTACTCTCTGATGCTTGTTTATGATATTTGATGAGATTGCAGATAGCTCATTCTCACCTTTCTCAATTCTTCATGTCATAAGTGAATATAGATGCAAAAGCACCAACCAATTGTATTGTATTACATGAGGATTCTTAGGTAGATGGATACGGTTTACTAAGATGTCATCTCAGCATCTCCTTGATGCTACTTGTAGTTGTGCCAAGTTACTCTTAACAAAATGTCACAGTCTGATGCACAATATATATATATATATATATATATAGAGAGAGAGAGAGAGAGAGAGAGAAAATATCTCCATATCCCCTATTTTTAGGTTTTATTTCTTGATAAACCCAAGATTTCAAAAGATATCTTCTAACCCCCTAGCCACTTTAAACCTATTTTTTAACCCAAACAAATGTGAGAAAGACTGGCTCTTTCTAAATCCAATCCTTTCTCTGCATTTATATACCTCAAACTTCTATCTCTCTCTCTCTTCCAGCGTCTCTCTCTCTCTCCTCCTCCCAGTAACCTCTCACTTCCATGAAGCCTTCTCTCCGTCTAGGAGTTTGGGAGAATGGATTTTAGAAAAAGGCATGTCTTTTTAAATTTGTTTGGCCTAAAAAAACATGCTTAAATTAGCTCAGGGGGTTAGAAGAAATAAAATCTACAATTTTTATACCTCAAGATATCTTTTAAAGCCTTGGTCTATTGTGAAATGAAGCCTAAAAAT